CCTGCTGCGGGTCTCTGAGCTCACCTAACCCTGCTGCGGGTCTCTGACACAGATGACCACTGTCACCTCGGAAAAAAAGCCTCTTCTCTTGGCTCTGTGGTCTTACCCTCTCTTTATCCTCCACATCTCTAGCCACAAAGCAGTCTCTTTTGCTGATTCCTCTCCTTCTAACCAACCCTTAGAAGTTGGGAGTTAGTCATAGTGCAATCCTCAGCCTCTCTCGTTTCCCTCACTCTGTATTTCCAGGGTACCCAATTCATTTTTGTAGCTTTGATTGCCATTTACAGGCCAACGACTACCACATTTCTATCTCAGCCATTTATATCTCTCCTGTGTTCCGGGCCCTCACATCCAGCGCCCACCTCTGACACCTCCATGTGCATATCTCACGGGCATCTCAAACATAACGAATTCAAACACCTCATCCTGCACATCTATTCCTACCCCTGTATGTGCCATCGGGGTAAACGGTACCCCTACCCACCCAGCTGTTCACACCAGAGACTCCAACCCCTCCCTCTTTTCTTCTTCTAACTCCACTCCATCCCAAAGGCCCCCAGACATTCTTCTAAGAGGTATCTGGATTCTATCAACTTCACTTTCTTTGTGCTAGAATCATCCTAGTCCAAACCACTAATGTTTTCTCCAGAATCTCTTTTAAGACCTCCACAGTCACTCTTCTCACTTTCATCCTTAACGCCCACCCCCAACACTGCACCCTGAAAGACCCTAAACCCCTAACCTTGCTTTATTTTTCTTTGTGGTGCTTTGAGGTGTGTATTAATAAACAAACATACCCAAATGCTCATTGATATACTACTTATAATATTTTGCAGGCATAAAGCAAGTAGACTTAGGAAAAACAGCCACTTGGACTTGAAAAAAAAAAGGTGGGGGATACATTTTGGAAATACTCTATTACAGTTACTCATCAACTTCCCATGCATTTTCCCTTGAGCCTTTCAGTGCATACAAGTAAGGAAAATAGTGCTTAAATAATACATTAGACAGACCCCATTTTTTTTGATATTAACCAATGGCATGTGGTCACTCCTAACCAAGATAGCAACCAAAGCTGGCACTGAAAAGGAAATGCCTTTTCTTTTTTTTTTCCAGTAAGTTACGTGTTTTTATTATTTTTTTAGTTTTTATGTAAATTCCAGTTAGTTTACATACAGTGTAATATTAGTTTCAGGTGTACAATTTAGTGATTCAGCACTTCCATGCATCACCCAGTGCTCGTCACAAGTGCCCTCCTTAATCCCCATCACCTACTTAACCCATGCCCCCACCCACCTCCCCTCTGATAACCATCAGTTTGTTCTTTATAGTTAAGAGTCTTTTTCTTGGTTTGACTCTCTCTTTCCCCAAGATTGTTTGCTCTGTTTCTTAAATTCCACATGTGAGTGAAATCCTATGGTATTTGTCTTTCTCTGACAGACTTATTTCGCTTAGCATAATACTCTCTAGCTCCATCTGTGTCATTGCAAATGGCAAGATCTCATTCTTTTTGATGGCCGAGTAATATTCCATTGTGTATATATACCACATCTTTATCCATTCATCAGTTGAGGGACATTTGGGCTCTTTCCATAATCTGCCTATTGTTGATGATGCTATAAACACCAGGGTGCACGTGTCCCTTTGAATCCGTATTTTTGTATCTTTTTCTGGATAAATACCTAGTAGGGCAGTTGCTGGATCATAGAGTAGTTCTATTTTTAACTTTTTGAGGAAGCTTCATACTGCAGAAAATGCCTTTTCTAGTCAGTGTACAAGCTTGCCTTATGTAGGAGAAAGTTCAAGAAGATAAGTGAACACTTATTTCCTTGAACAGCAGTGTTACTTCCTGCCTGTGGCCTGGCCCTAAGTGTCCTATTGTTAATGGTGATGCAATCTTTAAATAGACTATCCTGTCTGTTAACGGAGGCCTATTTGCCTTAAGAGCATATTAGTTCAGAAACAATGTAGTCATGCAAAAATAAAAAGCCAAACTCCTAGACATATCGCTGATTATTACTAGAAGGTCTCTACTATTTGACCTTAAAAAATAAAGTTAAGTAGGATAACCTCCTCGATTTCTGCTTTTTCCTACTAAATAACTGGTTTTATACCGAACAGAGAGATGGGCATGGTTTCTGAAATCCCAAAGACAGTTAGATACAATACAATGAACGCAGAATTAGACTGCTGGGTTCCTAACTCTTGATTCGGCTTCAGTACACATAAATCCTGCTGCCTCTAAGTGTAATGATGTTTCCAGATCACCAGCCTAAGACTCCTGGTCCTATACCTCACAGTTGTGACACATACCAGCTTTGTTCAAAAATAATTTTACACTGCCTCCAGAAGTCATGTCTGGCAATACTCTGAAGATAGGTGTTTATGATTTCTCAGCAGCTATGACAATTACAAGCTATACTGCAGATTTTAAATTAATATTTTTTTCTAAACAAATTTAGTTAAAAAATAAAGCCTACTTTCTAGTTATTTAAAAGGGAAAAAAACCCCAAACATATGTAGAAATTTATCTTACAGATACAAATCACAGAGCAGATGTCTTACCTGGTGAATTCCAGAACATTGAGTAATTCATATCTTTCTTCTTGCCCCAGCTATGAAGGAAAGGAATACATGATTACATCATATTGGAAGTATCTTTAGCTTCTTGGAAAGAAACCCTATGCATGAAGTTTTAATGTAAAAGATAACACAAACAAAGCATCCCTTCCGAATATATCCTCTTTAAGTGAATTTATTAACTTTCAGGTTAAGAGGGAAGATGGAACATACACATTTAATTTCTGTCTTACCCAAAGTCTCACTAAAACTATAGTAAACACTTTAAAAAGAAAGAAGCTTACGATGGCAGGGAAATAAGAAAAGAAACAATAGCACCAGAAATTTGGAAGCTAGAACACAGATCAGTGAGTGGGATCTTAGCAGATCCAAGAAGGCTGAATACTATAGTGGTCATGGGAAGAGCTGAGAACCCACCTGATTTGTACCATATGATCCTTAAGTGGTTTAAGGATGTGAAAAAGCAGTTAGCTCTGGAATTGTGAGGTAAAAAAGGGGCCTAAAATGGGGAGAACTGGGTAAGAGCCACTTGAAATGAGCTCTCAGCACCGGCCCTTCCTCTGGTCTAGCAGAATCTTTTGTCTAGAATTGACTGGCACAGTTGAAGACATGGCATTGTTATCATATTCATATGAAATATATTAAATGCTGGGCCCCAATATCCCAAGCAGAAATGGGGAGTTACTCTCTGGGGAATTCAACAAGCCCAAGAGAAGCCTTAGAAGTACAGACGCCATGACTTCCCTAATGAATCCCCCCAGACCACCCTACAGTAGAGCTCAGGGTAGACAAATATTCCCCTCAGGCTCTGAACAGCCACATCTGCTTTCAGGTTCCTTCTTCTTAACCACGAGAGTACCAATGATTGACAGACATCGAAGGACATTAACATGGAACAGAGATATCCAAAACCAACAGACAGAAGCAATTTGGAGGAAAAAGAATTCAAAAACAAAATTTCCCATGGACCAATGAGGTTTCAGGTTTGGGTTTCCTGACAGGCACGAGGGGCTGGTGGGTGGGCCCTGGATGCCTCTGCAATTAGTTTCAACACCAGACTGAAGTGGTCTGTCACATGCGTCATATGTGGTATTTTCTGTTCTACATTGGAACTGATTACTGTGGCTTCCTGGTGGCATAAAACTTTTTTTTGCAGAGTTTTACACCCTTGGAAATATTGCCGCATAAGCCAGGATATGATTTTTAAGGGGACCTATAGAAAAATGTGTGAAACAATAAGACTGTTTATAATAATCCTTATGTTTTTATGATTACTACTTATACCCTGGTTGCTGCTCTTTGGTAGTATGGGAGGAGACTCGCCTTATTATTCTGCATATTGCAATTTGTGTCAAAAACCTGGTAGAGTCTATCACACATCCCGTGTGCAAGGGCTACAGTAATTAAATGCTGCTCTTTTCCCCTAAGTGGAAAATGAGAAACTTTGGAGAAGAACATTTGAGAGCTGATATTTAACTTTTGGTGAAGCATGCTTTTCCCAAAACTATAATCACTGCAAAACTGCAGTGATAGTTTGAGACAATTTTATATTCTGGTAAAAGCTATAGTTTAACTAAAGGCTTGTAAATGCTTTTTAATTAAGTGCTTTGTTACATGCCTATAAAATTTTTTAAATGAAAATTTCGAAAAACTATCATTATTTCTCTCAGAGAATACAACATTCATGAAACAAGAACAGGATACTATTAAAAAGAAATACTGAAAGAACAAAACAAGCTCCTCAAAACCAAAAACATGGGAGCAGAAATTAAAAACAAAAAACATGAATAGAAAGAAGATAAAGCTGATGAAAACTTCCAAAAAGCAGAGCAAAAAGGCAAAGGCATGAAAAGCATTAGTGAAAAGCTAAAGATCAGTTCAAGAATTCTGAAGAGAGAGAACAGGGCAAAAAGAGGGAAGGAAAATGGATTTAAGGAAAAATTTCCAGAACTGAATTTTCCAAATGGAAAAGGGCCCACCAGTGCTCAGTACAGCGGGTTAAAAATATTCCCACTAAGACACACTGCCATGAAATATCCAAACTCTTGGGAGAAAGATCCTAGAACCTTCCAGAGTGTGGGGGAGTGGGTAGGGGCAAGTCACAAAAGTTGTGGAATCAAAATAGCTTCTGATTTCTCAATGAGGTGTACTGGAAACCATAAAATAGTGGAAAAATCAATATTTCTAAGGAAAATAATTTCTACCCTGTAATTCTATATTCATCTGGAAGATCAATTAAGTATAACAGTAGCATAGAAAACGTTTAGACTTGAAAGGACTATAAAATAAGTAAGTTACTCCCCATGTATCTTTTCCCAAAAAGCCACTAAAAAATGTATTCCACATAAGTAAAAGAGTAAACCAAGAACAAGAAAGTCATGGGATTTAGGAATTGAAGATCTAACACAGGACAGAAGTAAAGAAAGTTCTCGGGAAGATGATAAAGCAATTCCAGGGTGACAACTGTGAACAAAATGGTGACCCATCAACCAGTGCATCTCAGAGCCCAAGAGTCAGGAGCTGTATTTATTGAGGGCTATCACTACTGTGTCTTCTGCTTCCAGAATGACTTTTTAACCTGAAGAAACAAACATGATATATGTTCTGTCAAAAGAGGGAAGTTCACTAGGAAAGAAGATTTGAGACACAGGAAATAGTCCCAAACAGACGAAAATCAACCAGGATTCCAAGTGTTGTAGAAACAGGCCTTAGAACAAAGTTGGCACGGACCGAAAAGAATGGTGAACTTCTAGAGCCATGGATGGGCGTGTCTCAAGGTAAGAACTGCCAACTGACAGATTACCTGGTGTGACTTAGTACACTTAGAGTGTACTAAGAAGATATGGGAACAATCACTAATAGGTAGAAAGAAAATTAAGCAATTGAAAAAAACAACAACAAGGTAAGGGACTTATATTTAGGAAATAAAGGAAAAATTATCTTCAGGAAATAATTTATATCAGAAAACATAAAATTAAAAAAAGAAAAAAATTCCTGAATACAACAATGTTCAACTGTGTATACTGGTACAGGCGTAATAACAAACACTAAATCATGATTTCTTTAGTGAAATGAAACGTATATACAAAAAGGACACAGACATTAAATGCATAGTTTGGTGAAAACTGTGTTGTTTACAATGGTATGCTGGTGTAACCACCACCTTCAACGAGATATAGAACATTCCCATCACCCCATAAATTCCTTTTCCTCTCCTCTAATCCATCTCCTCCCTAACCCTGGGACAACCACTGTTCTGAATTCTACTCCCATCATCACTTTTGTCTGATCTCCAGAGTATGCACTCCTTTGTGTCTAGTTTTTTCTGCTCAACATAATGTTTTTGAGATTTATCCATGTTGTTGATGAATCCATAATTCCTTCCTCTTTATTGTTTCGATAGTCCACTGTAAGTATATATCACAATTTGCTTACCCCTTCTCTTGCTGATGGATGTTTGGTTTGTTGCCAGTGTATGACTACTCTAAATAAAGCTGCTGTGAACATTCCATTAGGTATCTGTTTGTGGACATAAGCTTTCATTTCTCCTGGGTAACTGAGTACAACTGCTGGGTCAGGTGCATGTTTACCTGTGTTAGAAAACTCTAAAAGGCTTTCCAAACGGCTCATGCCATTTTACACATCAACTAACAACATATGGGTCCTCCACTAGCTCTATATTCTCATTAACATTTGGTGCTGCAATGTTTTTAATTTTAGTCTTTTTGGTGGGTATACAGCATATCATTGTGATTTTAATTTGCATTTCACTGATGACTAATGATTTTTTTTTTGTGCTCAGTGGCCATTCATATATCTTCTTTTTTGAAATGTTTGTTCAAGTCTTTTGCATATTTAAAAAATTAGGTCTGAATACTTGTTTCACTAAAAGCTGTGATGTAATTACAAAAATATATAGTCATATAGTAATATATATTCCAGGAAGGGATAGTGAATCAAGAGAGATAAATCCTCATTTAACATAACAGAAGACAAAGTCAGTAGATATGTTCAAATGGAAGAATCAAAACAGTTATCATTTATCACATATGTTTTTGAAAATAGGAGATTTATAAATGCCTGAAGAAAGAGATAAAGTGGCTTCTTCTGAGGTAGAGAACCTCAATTTTATTATGATCCTTTGATATTATTTTATCTTTGAAGTTATGCACATGTTATTACTTTGATGAAAAAGAGACTTAAAACTAAAACTTAAAACTTAAAACTTACTGAATCTATAATCACTGAGTCCGGTGTTCTTCCAGTGAAAACAAAATTCAGTTGCTTAGCTGCTCTGACCAATGCTCCCTCATCTGTTTTAGGAAAAAAGGTGAAAGCAAATACATGGTGAGATAAAATAATTATCCCTAGTACAACAGAAATACATTACTATATTTTCTATTGAATTTTAAAAGAATTAAAATTCTGTTTATTCTGGCCCCTGTTAAAATCCATTTCTTTTGGGAAATCATATGACAATGCCAAAGGAACAAGTAGACTCATCTTAAGGTTCTGGTTCTTGTAGGGAACCAGGAATCATATTTGACTGTTAGTCAACACACCTAAGAAAGGAAATTTAAATGTACCCTTGGTCCAGAATGTTCTATAAAAAAGTTTCTCAAAATAAATGCACAAGATTGTCTTATGTTTTATACTTTTCCTCCTAAACCACTGAATGTAGAAAATCCGAATTGAGGATTCAATTTAAATGGATATAAATGCATGAAACTGTACACTTGCAACTGATGTAACACTGTGTGTCAACTCTACTCGAATTAAAAAAAGAGAAACTTGGACAAAGGAAAAAAAAGAAAAGAAATGGATATAAATGAACTGATGTTTATTTTATTATATATTACTTTCATCACCATATTATGTCAAACTTTCTAGTTGCTGAGGGTAGGGTGTGGGATAAGAAACATTCACATAGTGTCCATCCTAACAATATGAGATGTAACATTTCTTCTGCTTTTTAGGAATTTGGTACATTCTGCAAGATCACAGGTGCTGGTTTAGAATACAGTTAAAACACTTAGAAACAAAGTTCTTTAAAGTATGTTCCTTTCCTTCTTTCCTAAAATCTTGTAATCATCAAATTGCCCAATTTTACAGTGAAAATAGGTTTAAAATTAAGCCGAGGCATTAAATATTGATAACCATGCTAATACATATTTTATGGCATCCCTTTCAAGTGGTGAACTTTCTTCATCCAAATACACACACAACAAGCTCCTTGATTATCATTTCCAGAAGAGGAAAGCAAAATTGTTGTTTTCAAAGAAGGGAGGAGACCCTATTATGTGTATTAAAAAGTACTTTTTGTGTGAATTTTTTAACTCAAATTTCCATGCAATTTATGTCATATGCTAAAAATTATGTAGATAAGGTTATATATTTTGACATATATATATTTAATTCTGAAAACCAGGTTTTTCTAATTAGTAAATACATTTTTATTATCTAAAAAAACAACTTGGTTATTTTACTTTTTCAAATTAAACTGATTGTTTTCTAGACAACCTCAAATTTCAGAACAATTTTCCACTGGAAAGATACATTAAATTCCTTCCTTTGTACCTGGAGATGCTGCTTGATAAATAATCTTATCGCCTTCTCGCTCTGGTACTGCTGTGTGACAAACTGCCATCATTGTAAGAAATTCACATATTATAGGTGCAGTTGGCTGTAAGAAATAAACACGTAATTCAACCCTTTTCATTTAAACATTTTGACACTAATGACAGCAACATTACTTCATGACTATTAAGACTACAGCTGTTAGGCACTGAAGGTGTGAGGTTACAGACAACAAAGAAGCCAGTATCTGTTATGAAGAAAATATATTTTTTAACTAAAATCATTCATGCTTACACTCTTCCATTCATTTTCCAAACATTTACACAAAACAACTTGGTGTGTCAAATGAAAATAGCACAGTGTAAAAAAGTAGATAGATCAAATCCTGTTCTCAGAAGATAGGAGAAAAATTCTAAAATGCTCATTTATCTGGATCTAATTCCTGATTAGATTTAAACTTTTGGCATCTGATCTTACTGGGGTTCCACCATTTTGTATTGGGGTGATGATGGCAGGGGATTCCTCTGTAATGCTTTGTCCTTCCTCTCTCCACAAATGACAACCTTAACCTGATACATGTTTTACTAAATAAAAAGAATTGGTTGAGCTATTGCTGTGTACGATGCAATGGATTCTTACAGCCTGAGGAAGACATAAAAGTGGATCCTTTCTGCAAGGAACTTAGAGTTTATAGGAGAAAACAAGCCAGATCTTTTTTTTTTCTTTTTTAAGAACTCATGACCTTGAGATCAAGACCTGAGTTGAGTTCAAGAGTCAGATACCCAACAGACTGAGCCACCCATGTGCCCCAGAAGCCAGATCTTCTGCTGTTTGGTTCCTGATGGAGATAAATATTAAATAAAAAATATTCTTCTATGCTCTTAGGCTAAAACAAACAAACAAACTGAAAAACACATGAAGTGATTGGAAAGGTAAATCACAACATTATTTGAAAAATCTGTTTTCAGGTTAGTACAGTAGACAAAACAGACATGGTCCCTGCTGTGTGAAGCATAATTTGTGGGGAAGACAGAACACAGATAAAGACAAATATTTACTTATGGTGTGAAAGGACTATAAAGGAGAGAATGTGCAAACATCATGTAATGTATTTGGGCCAGTCTGTGGTTATTCTCAAGAGAATGTGAGATTTAAGCTGAGGTTTTAGCCTCATGAAAAACTGAGCCAAGAGCTTTGCATCAAGCAGGAATCAGGTAAGACTGAAAAGATCCTATAGGAAGGCAAGAATGAGGTGTGTTTGAGAAAATAAAAGCCAGTATGGCCTGAGGAGAAAGAAAGGAAGAGTGGCTCAGGTGAGGCTGGTGACTTGGGCAGGGGCCCGACCATTTAACTCTGTAAGGTAAGAGGGAAGCCAGAGAAAGGTTTTTTTTTTTTTTTAAATTTTTTTTTAAAGATTTTACTTATTTATTTGAGAGACAGAGAGCACAAAAGGGGGGAGGGGCAGAGGGAGGAGAAGCAGGCTCTCCGCTGAGCAGGGAGCCAGACTCGGGGCTCGATCCCACGACCCTGGGATCACGACCCAAGCCGAAGGCAGATGCTCAACCAACCGAGCCACCCAGGCGCCCCCAGAGAAAGGTTTTAAACAGGGAAGTGAGGGGATGTGATGTCCATGTCCATCATTCCCATTACCATGTGCAACAAGAACTGGAGGGGAACAAAGATGGATACAGGGAGACTGGCAAGGGCATGCTGGCAGTCTGGACTAGGGAGGGAAAGTGAGCATGAAGTAAAGAAGACATTTAGCATATATTCCAGAAGTCACTACTGACAAGGGCTTGGCCATTCTAGAGAGCTAGAGATGGACCCAGCAGGAGGTATCCAAAGCAGCTCTTAAGTTCCTAGAAAGAGAATTAAAATAGGTGATGGAGCAATTTGAACCTGAGAACGCAGAGGGAAGAAATGGTCTCGGTCCTGTGGATCCTGAACCTCATATTCTATAGAAGGCTCTCTTAAGAAGAAAGGATACAAAAAATACCTGTAAGAACACCTTGCTAGAACTCCACCCAGGGGCACAGGTTAGTAAGCCACCTGTGCTCAAGGAGCTTTTACTGAGGTAATGAGTTCAAAATTAAGTTTTGACATATTGAGCTTGAAGTGATGATGAGAAAAGGTTCTGGGGTTAAAACTCTAGGAAGCCACACCATTTGATCTGATGGAATTTTAGTAAGTATTAGTAACTTCGTAAGTACAATGGTCACATTGGATGGAAATTTCTGGAGTTCTCTTTGTATAGATTGGGCACTGGCCTACCATTTTGAGCAGGTAATTCATTTCCACAGATAGTCTGAAATGGTGAATAGTGAGCTCTTTTATACAAACAGAATTCTCTTAATTATTTAATATAAGATACTTTGAAAAGATAGAATATTGATTAACAAGAATTTCAAAACTAAATTCCTAACAGCCATGAATTTGTGTGGGACAAGTAAGAAGGATTTAACAATAACAGATTTTGGTAAGTATTAAAAAGGATCACAAAACTAAAAAAAATATATAAACATGGAAGATAATTCAGGGTTACTCATTAGCTTTCACTCATTAACAAAAAGATAATAGTTTTATGTTGCTTACATGATTATTTTGGAGGTTTTCCAGCAATGACGAATCACTAAATGTTTTCTCATCTCCGAACTGTGAGCTCTGCCTGAAGGGGAAATTGGAGCAAACCTGGTTCATTTATATAAGCCACAGATCTATTTGTAACTTACTTCTTAAGTAAATCATTATGCCTGCAAACCTTTAATAGATTAAATATAACTTAGTCTGCATTTCTAGATAAGATACCATAGATTTCATAACTGAACCATATATTATTTTCAAGCATTCTAAAACGTGATAGACTTCCGCAGTGTAATAAAAAAATAGTATTTTAAAGCTCATTTTTCTGGAGTGGAATTACACTGTAGCCACATGAAGCTTAAAAAGATTTTTTAAAAAGTTACAACACTGCTAAAATACCTAGAGGTGAATTTCTAGTTCCATAATTTTTTTCAAGTTTTTAGAATTTGAGAATAAAGTAATTATAAAAAAATTCTTTTACTTTAGCCTATGAGAAATCATTATTTGTAGTGACTAACATTACATGATTATATGGAATATAAAAATATGAGCAATAAGCTTTATATATATCTTATCAACATCAATTAGAAATATTTGATATATTCATGTATATGTTCCGCACATATAAGAACAAATCATAAAAATGTATGGGATTTTTTGTGTTGGGGCTATCTTCAGATGAGCAAACACTTATGCATGTCATATGAAATAAATGGATTCAGAATTGCCTCTATAATCTAACTATTACGAATCTCATGGCCATGCAATTTAATACCAAAATGTTGAGATTAAAAGAACATGGAACACATAAGTGGGAACGTCAAACCCAAAGGGTGTACTTTGCAATGTTCAGTGAAAATATATACATCTAAACTTTTGTGCATAGAAGAAAATTCTAGAATTAATTCACCAAGGAAAAATAATATGTCCAATACTAAATAGCTGTAGCCGAGAAAGCTTTTGATCATAATTTTTAAGTTACAGAGTATTATCAATGCCGAAGTGCCAAATATCAAGAGTTTCATATTTTTAAAGCCAGCAGTTGGAAAGGAAGGAGAAATCACTGAAGAAAAAAAGAATCTGAAATAATTAAACATACACAGTGTCAATGAAATATAACCAAAGAAGGAAGTTAGAATGTTTATAATAAGATACATCTTTATTTACATGTAGTAGTTTGATCTATTAATTCTGAGGACTGTAAAATAGTACATCTTCATTAGCATGCAGTAATTTTGAATTCTTTCAAAACATCCCTAGGAGGCAGAATAAATACGTAATTACTCTTCCTCTAGTTTTAAAGATGGAGGGAAAAATCCAAGATCTTTTAAATATTTTCTTTTAATTTTACTTATTTTTGAGAGAGAGAGAATGACAGAGAGAGAATGAGAGGGGGGAGGGTCAGAGGGAGAAGCAGACTCCCCGCTGAGCAGGGAGCCCGATGCGGGACTCGATCCCAGGACCCCAGGATCATGACCTGAGCCGAAGGCAGTCGCTTAACCAACTGAGCCACCCAGGAGCCCTAATCCAAGATCTTTTAAATGATTTATCAATGGGAATGCAAAAAATTCGCATACATTTCTCCTCCAAATACTATCATTTCTTAAAAAGTTTATTACTGGGGCTCCATAAAGTCTCCCTATTATTAAAATGTATTCATTAATGGTTCTTAGTTATACATTCCCTCTTATTTGTTAGATAAATTGAAATGTCAAGGAATAATCACAGTAACATCTTGCATGTGGAGGTCTATTTTCTTTCCAAAGAATTCCAGACTAAAAGCCTTCACAAATCTGAAGATATGTCTAATTAATCTCACCAGAAACCCTTATCTCATAAATCACGGTTACCATAATAGATATAACTTTCAAATGTATTTATAACAAATAACACTAGATAATGCAACTGAAATCTTTACATGGACACAATCCACCCTCCATTTACCAATGAAGCTTCTACCATGAATAATGTTAAATAAGGACTCTTCACTCAGAAAGTGACTTCTTTCCCAAGATCATAAAAACCATAAACAACTCATCTGCTAATCCACATAGCCTGGGTTGGATAACTCAGGCATGGAGCTTTCACCACTCCTCTCTAAAATCTTACAAAATGTTCACTTTTAGTAAATGTAAACAGACAAAATTAGGATGCTTGTGTCATTTCAAAGGAAGAACCAACTGGATTAAAAGTAAAAGTGATCATTTAAACTCAGTTGACAAAATTATGAATTTGCAAACTGAGCAATAAGCTTTATATATATTTTATACAAATGCAAGCCAACATCAACATTTTGTTAGATTTTTCCATAGAAATTTTCAAGTGGCACTATGCACACAAAGAGACAAAAGAAATGATGGTGTTTTGCAAGAAGGGATAAGATAGGGAGGGTAACATTAAGGTTAAGGAGAACAAGAAGCAGGTAGTCCACAATACCATGTAAATGGTAGCTTCTTGCTGGATGATTTAAAAACTATGATACAGTGTAAATAATTATTTCCTGACTATACAAAAAAATGAAGAATCCTCATGGCATTAAAAATTAACAGAAAATTCAGAATGTATATGGCTTAATCAGTATTACCTATTTTCATATATGACAATATGGGGACCTTGAAATTTTTTTAAATTCAAAATTCATGTCAACCAAGGAATCATTAGAAAAAAAGAAAAAGGAGTTGGATTCATACTTTTCACCTTAAACCAAATAAACTCCAGATGGATGAACAATTTAATAAAAATTAAGATATGGGAAAATTTTAAAAATAAGAGTGGAAAAAGCCTATGTATCACACATAATCCAGAAAACAAAACAGATAAATCTGACTGTATACAGCTAAAACATTTCTGCATAGCAAAAACTACTGCAAGCAAAATCAAAAGCCAAACAAAAACTGGGAAAAACTGCTTCCAATTCATATAATGAAGGTTAGTTTCCCTAAAATAGAAAGAACTCATAGAAACCAATATGAAAAAGATCAACAATGCAGCCCATCAACCAGATGAGGAAATATGAGTGCCTTTAAATACAAACTTCAGTTTACCCAATAATGAGAGAAATGACTGCATCAATTTAACAGAAATAAATGTGACAATTCTGTGCTGTTGTGATTATGGAAAAAGATAAATCATACCATTGCTGAGTATGAAAATTGGCAAAACTTCTAAGAACAACAACTAGGCAATTTCTACCAAAATTTAAAACGCATGTATCCCTTTGATCCAGTAATTCCAGTTCTAGTAATTTATACTAGCTATCTACCTGGTGCAAAATGTTGTATGCACAAACTCATTCTCTGCAGCACATTTTTTCAAAGATTTATTTATTTGCGAGAGAGTGAGAGCACGCATGCGTCCACGAGCGGAGGGAGGGGGCACGGGAAGAGACTCTTTAAGTGGACTGCCTGCTGAGCACGGAGCCCAATGCGGGGCTTGATCTCAGGAGCCATGAGATCATGATCGCAGCCAAAACCAAGAGTCAGATGCTCAACTAACCGAGCCACCCAGGTGCCCCTACAGCACATTTTTTTTTTTAAATAGCAAAAGATTAGAAATAACTCAAGTACTATGAAGGATGTTGCTTTAAAACATTGTGGTACATCCACATAGCAAACGCTGTACAAAAACAGGAAGCTCTTCTGATCTTGGACTGATCTCAAAGACGCACAGTGAAAAGAAAAGCTGGTATGAAACAGGGCGTATAGTATGCTTCACTCTCTGTAAATATAGGAGAGAAAACAGATACATACATGTTTATGTGTAGAACCGATCTGGAAGGATACATCTGAAATTGTTACTGCCTGCCTCCAGGAGGGGAGAGGAGTGCTCTAAGACAGGGAAGGGAGAAAAACCTTCCCCTCTTTACACCCTTGGAATTTGCAACATGTTAATGCATTATGAACTTAAATTTAAATTAAAATTAAAAGACAAGAACAAAACCCTTGTCAGCCACCTGTAATAGATGTACAGCCTACACATAAAATAGATGTATACATGATGCACACACATATACTACACACATGTTCACACTGGAAGATAAAAGTTAGTGGGGCTGTAAAGCACCATTTTTTGAAAGGATCTGCACCTCCTGCTTTTAAATGATGCTACTGGTTGCAAATCAAAATCCCTTAGAGGGAGATTTAATTTTTAGGAATGACTTTTTTCCTAAAAATTGTCATGACAGAGTCATGTCAAGTCCAAGAATATAAACAAGTGATCGAATTCAATAATATTTTTGTTAGACATCGGTTTTAACCAAAATCCTAAGACCTGCTTTTCTGTATGGCTCAAAGTGTTTCTGAAGGCAATTACAAAAGAGGTGTTTCAAAAACATTCTGTGAAACGGCTGCATCATTGAAATAAATAAATTAGCTGTCAACGTGACTACTTTGAAGACTAACATTAATTTGGATGCGTTAGATCTCATTATTATACAGTCACACCTGGAAGGATGTTTTCATGAGTCTAGCTATTATAGCAGAAAAAATAAATACCACTCATTCCATACATAATTATAGACCAGGATGAAATGAGAAAATAAATAAGACCAGAAAAATAGTACTATCCACTGATACTATGATAATACTAAGGACCCCAGTGAAATGATTAAGCACAGAACACATTAAGGAAATTCTTTTTGGAGAATCATCATCACTGGCATTAACTCCAAAAAATATATCAGAACAGTATGGACTCTATATTAAATAGTTAAGAAAAACAAATATGTTATCTGGGATTGGCTTCAAAATAATGGTGAGGGAGAGGTATAGATGACATTGGATTTTGGTGCGTATGATGGAAGTAAGTGAAAGGGTAATCTGTCTACTTTTGTTTATGCTTGAAATTTCCCACAGTAAGCATTAGGAAAAGAAAAAAAATGGCTATGGAAATATATAGTTGAAAACAATCACATCTTAAGGGCTACACGGATGCTAAGAATAAGCAGATCTTTTTTCCAATGGTAGATTTTTAATAGAAAAGAATTAATTTGTAAGGTTATATGTTAGCTTATGGGTAGTTGGCAATAACAAGAAAACCATACCAATTTTGGAGTAAGTAGCTACTGGTTGGGGAATGATCTTATCT